AAATTTTTAATGGGGAGGGAATATCGACATTTCCTTCCTTTGTCCGGCAACGCCCTGTCTATCTCTGCCCTCCCCTCATTTAATATTCTGATATCAACTGAATCGTTCATGGGTCTAATAATGATTGGCGGGTGTTTATACAGGGACGACACACCGTCTGGATCGTTAAAAGGGAAACGATGTAAAATCATCTCGATTTCGCTAATTCGCCGCTTTTAAATAGAAAATTCGCCGGGTCAATTCGACGTCAGGTTGGGGGGAGGGGAGGAGAGGAGGTGCAGGTCGATCGTTGACTAGTTTTCCCCTGACTCCTCTCCCTTTTTTTCTTTCACCTGTGCGTTCTTTTTTTGATGTAACGTGGAAATTGTACCGCTGATTGAAAACGACGGCTCGTTCGATCTCTCGGTATTTGGAATTGGATGTGATTGGAATTTAAAGTTTCTTTTGTTTTCCTTTCTTTTTTCCTTTTTTTTTTTTTCTCGGGTGGAGAATTTAATAGGATATTATTTAATCGATAGACGAAATGTCAATCTCTCTCCGATGTTTCGAACAGATTTTGCGTGTAATAATGTCCTGCTATTAACAAATGTGTATAGTTTTGTTTATTTATAGTTGACGCATATCTTTTGACGATATTGATGGAAAAATACGGAGGAAATTTTCGATACTCTGCTCATCAAATACGATAAATAAATAAATTGAGTCTGGAATGTTCTATAAACGTAAATGTGTTCTTAAGAAGGCCACATAACGTGTCTTCATACACGATTAAGGATAAATTATATCGATTAAAGAAACAATATTGGCCACAATATTGACGTTTCATCCATCCAAATATTATTTTTCCATCCTTTCTTTCTACACAAAACAAAATAAAACAATAAAGTTGAGTAAATATCACTTCCTCCAAAGAAAGTTGGAGATCTTCGTAACCAAATGACGATTCCTGATGTTCTCGCCTCCTCGTGTTATTCTATGATTATCTTGGCGAAAGGATGAGAGGAAAGCGCCTCGAGGATTCCGTTAATTAAACCTAAAAGCATCGAAAATAAAATCCTTTCGTGGGAACGATTGAATTTTAAGGATGGAGAAGTTTGATCTTTGATCCCTCCTTTATTTCTCTGAAAGGGTTCCGGATAATAAATGGCGAACGTAGTACATTCCTTTGGTTACTTGGAGCGCATGCGCGCGTAAGATGTTCATTAAGCCGAGTTTCCATCGCGCATAAGAATTTTACGACACCGCCAATTGTGTTCCGGCTTGCAATTGTTCCCTCACGATCGTTCCTGGAAATTTCTACAATTATTGGAAACGAACTTTAAACCTCTATTTACATGAAACGCCTATACTACTACATAAGAAAATTCCATTACCAATATTTGTGGATGGATCCATCGATGGATCCATCACAGATATTTCAAGAAATGCAAAGAATAAAGGCGTGTTTGAAAAGAATCTTTATAGATTCTGACTTCGATTTTAATATTCTAAGATAAAAGTAAAAAAAAAATTCTTAAACAATAAAAGGAATCGTTGAATTATCAAATCGTTGAATGCATATCTAAAGCTGTATCCGCATAAATGATTATATTCCAATTTAATTGAACTCGGGTCAATGCGCAATGCGATGAAAATTAACGGTATCGTGGAAATTCGTAGAATTATTGAATTGTCGGTTTACAAGAACTTAAAGCACGTTCTAATTCGGCCAAATTTGCAAGTCCATTTGATGAACGCATAGATTAACGTTATCCTAGAATTATCGAATTATCGCTTTGAAGGATCCGCATTCACAATGAATCAATCGAGATATTAACTGTATCATCTCAATATATATTTATACCTTAGAATAATATAATCAGTATCATTAAATTTTAATTAGATATCTACTTATAACTCCAAGATATAAACCTTTTCGTTCGTGCGAAAACAATAATTTATATATTTCTTTCAATATAGATAAATCATTCGTGATTGCAAAATTCATCGAACTGAAATTTCCTCGAAAAACGTTCGTTCCATCGAAGAGGAAGTTCATCCCTTCCTTCGAGGGGGCCCCTCGAAAACAAAATGAAACAAAATGAAACAAAACGCGCGTGATCTTTGTTAATCTTGTAAAAAATATCTCGCGCAAAAATATGCTGAAGCTAATCTTCACGGTAAATCCCACGGCCGCCAGGGCAATTCCAATTTTTGTGCTCGCATAAACCGTGCGAGGTGTGCTCCTACGCGCCATCTCGCTTTATCATCCGGAATGGTCCCGGCTATTCCCGTAATCACGCTGAAACGCGTTGATGCAGGGAAGCTGCATGATTTTTTGAGAATCCGTGAAAAACCGGAGCTATTTGTATTTCTTCTTCTTTCTTACGCTCTTGGAAATAATTTTCTTCGTTCTTTGGAACGTAGATATGTTTCGTATATTTACGTTAATTGGATGATGACAGATCGATAGAAGAAGTTTCGAATAACGGATGTGGAGTAAAGGATTAGAACGAAAATTATATGAAAATGGAAAACGTAATAAATTTTTACGCATCGTAAAAGGGGGAGGAATTTATTTATATCGTATTAGATAGGCAAAACATTTTATATTTTGTAAAATAATTTTTTACAGATCACTTTCTAATTGCAAATTTTCCAAGAAAGAGATAATCATTTGAAAGAAAGTAGAAGAAATAATTTGATAAAGCCAAAAGCAGATATGTATGTAAAACAGTTTAGAGAAGATACATTTGAAAAATAAACAGGGAAGGAGAGATGTAAATATGAAAATTGCGTTACATCTTCTTCTTTTTTTTTTTTTTT